GAGGGTTAAACCAGTATTTTCAAATATGGTACCTATTTTTAGGCAGACAAGGTTCCTTGGGTGAATTTGATATCTTTTATTAGACCAGTTATTAAGCAAGCTTTCGGGTTCAAAAACCCTTCGTCAGGCTCAGGAAGCTGCAGCAGTTGGTGTGTGCTCTTCCTGGAGCTTCCTACTGCAGCTTCCTGAGCCTGACGAAGGGTTTTTGAACCCGAAAGCTTGCTTAATAACTGGTCTAATAAAAGATATCAAATTCACCCAAGGAACCTTGTCTGCCTATATCCTTAGACCAACACGGCTACAACCGAAACCCCTGTACCTATTTTTAGGCATCTATATAGGTGTTTTGATTTTTTTTCAGAAGCAGCAAGGACCTTTAGCTCAAACTGAAGTAAAGGGGGAGTTCAGTACCTCTGAACTCATATACTTGTGTGTAGGGACCTACTCAAATCACATTTTCATGGAAACCACGAAAAACGGCGGTTTCTGTGAATACTGCAAAAAACAGCAGTTTCCACAATTTTGTACGCAGTTGCCAGAAAAAAAACCTTACTAAAAATAAAATACTAGCTCCCGAGTGGGAGCCAGTGGCTGCTGTGGCCTGGCCTCGCAGCCCACTATAGGGGGAATCTGCCAGGACAAAGGGGAGCAGCTAAGATGGCAGCCACTTCCTCCACTGCTGATTGGCTGAGGGCTGCCTTTCATGCAGCCCCACCACCTCCACCAATCAGCAACAAGGGGCAGGGCCATGTGAAGGGCAGCCCTCTACCAATCGGCGGCAAGAGGCAGGGCAGCTGGGCCCCACAGCAAATCAGTGGCTTGGGGGAGGGCGGGCACTGTGATAAACCCATGAAAATAGCAGTGAGCACCAGTATTGGCCCATGAAATTGCCTAGCTGCCGCTTCAATTTGGATAGGTGCCCAAAGATGTTTTAAGTTAACTTTATTTTAGTCATCTGAGTTTGAAAAGTGGCAGCTTCTCCTCCTCTCCTCCTCCTGCCCCTGCTTCGCGGTTCCAGGCACTGGATAGCGCAGGGAAGCAGCAGCAGGCAGGGAGGAAGCTGCCCCAGCATGCGGGGTTACAGCTACAGCTCCTGACTGCCTTCAGGAGGGCACACAATATACAAGAGTATATTGGTGGGGAAGAGGGCACACAATATACAAGAGTAAGACTTTATTTTGAGCTATTATTCAATCATCTCTATATACACTACTCAAAAAAACATAAATCAGGACACAAATATATTTTAAAATAAAATTAAAATATAGCAGAGATTTGATTTTTAATATACGATTTTTTTTTTATCTGTAATTTGTTAAAATTATATCTTCTGAAAGATTTTGTGTGTGGCCCTCGACAGCTCATCAAAACTCGTTAAGTGGCCTGCCAGCTGAAATAATGCCCACCCCTGCCTTAGGCAGTTCTGGCAACGTTGTGCTAACATGGTATCTGGTAACATTTTCAGGTGGTTCTGGCTCCTTCTCTGAGCATATGAATTTAATAAGTGTATTGTTCCATTTGTATAATACCCTTTGCAATACAAGTCCATCTTCTTGGGGGTAATTTTGTTTCCTGCTGTACAATCCAGTCTACAAGTTCATGATTGCTTTGCTCGATGCCAAACATCAAGATGTATGCTTTTCCGCCTGTGGAGTTCTGCTCAACCTTACTGTGGATAAGAACAAACGAGCCATACTGAAGGAAGAAGGAGGAATTAGAAAGTAAGTTTCTGATCAAGGTTACAACAGGTCATGATCACAACAATGTGAGTTTAGATCATGAGTCTGTTATAATCAGCTGTTCTCTCTATTTGCTGTGGTTTCTGCATCCTCTGGAGTTTTTGCAAGTGCTCTCCCTCGGTCAGCATAAGAGGGTATGCAGATGATCTGATAATAAAATTTCATCAAATTATCATAGTTTTAAATTCAACTTCCAAATAGAGGAAGTAAACAAGCATTTTTTTTCCTTGGTTCACTTTTTGGGTGATTAGCTGTCACTTCAGGTTGAATTAAATGGCCATCAGAGTCCCTTCCAACTCTGTGATTTAGGGTTTACTCTGTGCTGCCCCATAGTAGGCTTGAGTTTGATTGTTTGGGTTCAGTGATAATTTGCTGTGGCATGGTTATTATGCACAAAGGGATCACTGAACCATCCCTGTAGTGTAGTGAGGAGTAGTTTCGTTTTATAGTCCCAAGGAAGCCCCTTCCTTCCTCACACTGGGTACAGTACAGGTCTTTTTGTGGGGTGGGGAAGGTTACTTAAGGTAGAAGTTGTACTTATTTGGGCCTCTGGCAGACATTAATGGCACAATTGGGAATTTTATGGCAGGGTGCATGATTTTTGAGATGATACATAAAATTACTCAGATCCCAATCATATAACTGCCAGCACCAAACCTACTGAACTGGGGCTGGGGGGCTGTCCTCTGCCTGATCCTGTTGATCAGCTAGTCAATTGGGTTGGGCAGGGGCAGCCTGGGTCCCAATTCAAGACCAGAGGCTGTCCCCCATGCCCAATCCTATGGATAGTGACAACAACGAGGTACTCCAGGCAGTAAGCTAGTTTTAACCTCGTGTACACAAAGCCACAACCTGTGCTTTCTTCCCACATTCTCAGTAGCTTGCAAAATGGGAAAGAGACAAGAATAGCAACAAAATAAAGTCAGTATAAAAAGTCAATGAGAGTTTCTTGCTTAGACTTAAAAAGAAGGGAAAAAGAGCTGAGAATATATAAAGAAGGAAGAGCAAACTGAGGAAGAACAAAGCATGCAAATGTGGATGATGGGAAATGTAATGCACGTGGTTGGCAAGGAGGATAATCCTGACTACCCAAATCATCCTTGGTATCTGGGTTGATGGCATTCAGATAATTGTACCAAGATAAAGTAGACCATGTAAACATGCTGGGTTTAGTGAGGCCTCAGTTGAACCAGAGGGTCAAATGCCAAAAACGTAGAGCAAGTTTTAAAGTCTGCTGCCTGTCAATCTTCCATAATAATTGCCTGATGAAGAGAGAAGAGACAGATCACTCTCTTTAAGAGAATATAGCTCTGTAACAAGTCGCCCTTCCCAGCGCCATCTTCCTAGTACTCCACGCCTTGCGTGGGGCACCTTGGATCCTTCTTTAGGGTTCTTATGTCCCGCCCTATACTCACCTGCCACGTCTTGATGGAAATTATGATGATGTTCTTGCGAGTGGGAGGCTGCCTGTTATATTGGGGCCTTTCCCCTATGTGAGACTGACCCCTGGTTTTCTCTAGCTAGGCCTCCCTGTCTAAACCCACCAAACAGGGTTTGACTCCGAGGCTCTCGCCTTTTCTATTGTCTTGAGGCAATGCTGCCCCCTTCTCTGGGTCTTCTCAACTGCCCCTCTCTGGGGCTGGGGTCAGTGCACCCCAAATGCCGCACCCTCACTGGCGCTGGGGTTCCCACACTGCTGTGGGTCCCCTATGAGGCCTCCTCCGACCCCTAATAGCCTCACCCAAACCACCGGTGACAAACAGTAAACCAAAATGCAAGCCCTTGGCTATACCATAAACAGAAGCCGCTTGGCCATAACATTCAAGCCTACCAGGGATTCTTCATCTTGCAGCCGTGTCAGATGCTGCTCCTGCATCCAGCTTCTCCTTTCTCCCACAACAGAGAGCTCCTGGCTGCTGGCAGGGAACTGCCCCCTTGTCCTCAGTCCTAGTGTTTAAATGGGAGCCAGGCCCTCCCCTTCTGGTCAGCTGACCGCTAGCAGGTGTGGGACACTGGCTCCCTCTGGTCGTCCTAGCAACAGGCACCTGAGCAGCTATTCCAGCTCTCCTATTACCAGTTTTCAGGTTGGGTTTTAGCTCTTGGTACAACTCTCCTAGACATTATTGCAGTTGTGTTTGGAGTGACAACAGTTTTTTCTTGAGCTTGAGTGGAAGGTTCCCCTTTCCAAGGATCTGGGCAATTGGTGTAGGATTTGGAGACCCTTTTCCAGATTACATTTTCATGTTTCTCTGATGTTCTGTTGTAGTCTCATGATGTGATGTCTTTTTATTCCTGACACAGTTAATGTCTTTTTGTAGCAACTTGACCTCTGGTAGGGGATAGGCTGATTTTTCAGCATAGATTCATAGAATCTATTCATAGCATCTTGGGGCTCCTCCTCTTCTGGTAAGTGGTTTGAGAAGAAGCAAAGGACTTGATCCTTGTGGAAGAGCTTGGGTCTTCATTCTTCAGTCAGCAGGAGCTAGAATGCCTAACTACCCACAGCTGATGCTGCCCACTTCTATACATGAGTGGGGACATTCAGTTTATTTATCCTTGGGCTCATCCCATCAGGGATTGAAGGGAAGGGCATGATTCATTCCTAGGAAGCTGCTTCATTCAAACTTATTCCTTCCGAGTAACTTGCATTCTTAAGTGACTTGGTGGTGGGGATCACAGGTCATTTGGGAGGCTAAGGGGACATGGAGTCCCAGAGTGTCTGCTGGACTCAAAGCCCTTACACAGAATATATGCACTGGTTGGGAGTCCCCTGTCACCATTGCTTTGCATGGAACAGACCTGTATTAGCTCAGGGCTTTTCCCTGCTCTGCCATTGTTTGGTGTCAGGGATGGAAGAGGCAAGTGCTTTTGTCTGTGTTGCTTTTGGGGTGTACAATAAGTTGGGTCCCCCCAAACATAGTAAATAGCATTGGAAGAGGCCTGCTTGGACCACAAAGACCAGTCCCCAAAGAATTAAAAGCTTAGGTTACGCTGTGCTGCACCAGTGGTTATATGTGTTACTTCTCTGTAATGGAGCACCAGAAAACTGCTGTATTTAAATTCATGTAGGTTGAAGGGATGCAACTTAATTTAGGAGTCAGGTCATGAGTCTGGACTACATACACTATCTACACTTATAACATTTACAAACCTGACATTTAGGGGTAAAAGTCCATTCTTGTCTAAACTCCTCTCTGATGTTCTACAGTAGGTACAATGTCACCAACAGAATTCATGCTGGAGGAACACAACAGGAAGAAATGATCTCTAGTGTGGCAAGGTTCCAGCAAACTTAAAAAAAGAAGGGGCAGGTGAATGAGGATGAGGGTAAAATCTTAATCTTACTATATTATGCCAACGCCCCTCATTCCCTGCATCTTGACAGGTGTCTGTACGTGTTCTAGGCCAGTGATTTTTCAACCTGCATTCATTTGTGGACCCCTAAAAAATGTCAAATGGAGTGCAGACCCTTTTGGAAATTTTGAATGGAGGTGCAGACCCCTTTGAATTGTAAGTGGGGGTATTTACATACTTCTGACTGATCGCAGTCATCTTTCGTGGACCTCTTAGATGTGTTCTGTGGGTACCCAGGGGTCTGTGGACCACAGAGGTTGAAAGCCAGTGTTCTAGGCTGATTTGATTCTTGCAGAGACCAGGAAAAAACACAATTAAGAGTATTATTTTTGTCATGCTTTCTGACAGGTTAATAGATTGCTTAAGAGACTTTGGGCCTACAGACTGGCAGCTGGCTTGCTTGATATGCAAAACCCTGTGGAACTATAGTGAAAACATCACAAATGCTGTCTCCTGCTTTGGGGAAGAAGATATCAACACACTGCTTATGCTACTTGCTTCTCTTTTAGGTAAGATTTTACAGGCTTGTTACCCTGTCTCAGGAAGCACAGCACAGTAGGAGAAAAACCAAGGATGGTTGTATGTGCGTGAGTGCAGAAAGCAGTTAGACTTCCGTGGATTACCCAGTGACATCATAGATTTCACAGATTTTATAGACATTAGGGCTGGAAGGGACCTCAAAAGATCATCAAGTCCAGCCCCCTGCCCCAGGGGCAGGAAGCTGGCTAGGGTCAAAGGATCCCAGCAAGATAAGCGTCCAAATGTTTCTTGAATGAGTCCAGAGTCCTACCTCTGGAGGGAATCTATTCCAGGCCGTGGGGGCTCGGACAGTAAAGAAGTTTTTCCTTATGTCCAGCCTAAAACAGTCTTGCAGGAGTTTGTGACCATTGGTCCTTGTTATCTCTCGGGGTGCTCTGGTGAACAGACGTTCCCCCAGATCCCGATGTACACCCTTTATGTACTTATAGGCAGCCATGAGGTTCCCCCTGAGTCTGTGCTTTTCCAGGCTGAAGAGTCCCATGGCTCTCAGCCTCTCTTCATAAGGCCTGTTCTCCTGCCCTCTGATCATGTGTGTGGCTCTCCTCTGGACTCTCTCAAACTTTTCCATGTTCTTCTTGAATTGTGGAGGCCAGAATTGGATGCAGCACTCCAGCTGTGGCCTCACCAAGGCCGAGAAAATGGGAGGATGACATCCTGAGATTTACTTGAGCAGCATCTATGGAGTTTTGTTCACTTTGCCAGCTGCGATATCGCACTGGTGGCTCATGTTCATCTTGTGGTCAGTCATGACCCCCAAGTCTTGTTCAGTCGTGGTGTTAGCGAGTGTTGCACTGCTGAGCCTATAAGCGTGATGTGGGTATTTTTTCCCCAAGGGGGAGTACCTTGTATGTTTCGGTATTGAATATTATCAGGTTTATATCCACACACTTTCTAAGCCTGTCCAAGTCAGCCTGGATCACTAGCCTATCCTCAGGCGTGGACGCTTTACCCCAAAGTTTAGTGTCATCAGCGAACTTCGCCAGTCCACTTCTGAAATCACAGTGGCCTCTTATCCTCCATGGTTGCTACTCTCCCCATGGTTTAATTGACTTTCCTGTATGTTTCACAAGTACATACCTGCCAAGATGCCTTCTTGCATGCATAATTGTCATTCTTTAGAATCATAGAAAATTGGGATTGGAAGGGACCTCAGGAGGTCACCTAGTCCAACTCCCTGCTAAAAAGAAGGCCAACCCCGTCCATCTTCATACCATCCCCATTGCTAGTATGTTTCACTCTGTTTGCTCCAGCTGTGCTATACATTTTTCATTGGAACTGGGCCTTTGTCCCTCCAGTGCAAATATAGGAATTTACAGCAAATGTTGCTCAGACACGCAACAGTTTTACTGAGTACCACCTTCTGCTTTCAGGGGACATATCTACATGTGCATTAATGCACCATAATTACAGATACTAACTTAGTGCACTGTAATCGGCACTACTGCGCAGTAGCATCCTCATCAATAAATTAAGCGACTGTGGCATTGATGCCTACACAGTTGGATGGGTAAAAACTCAGCTGTTGGGGCGCACCCAGAGAGTAGTGGTGGATGGGTTGTACTCAACCTGGTGAGATGTGAGCAGTGGGGTACCCCAGGGCTCGGTCCTCGGGCCTGCACTGTTTAACATCTTCATCAGCGACTTGGACGAGGGGGTGGAAAGCACGCTGTCCAAGTTTGCTAATGACACTAAGTTGTGGGGCGAGGTGGACACTTAAAGGGAGGGAGAGAGAGGCTGCAACTAGATTTAGACAGACTACAAAAGTGGGCAGACGAGAATAGGATGGGGTTCAACATAGACAAATGCAGGGTGCTGCACCTTGGGAGAAGGAATCCACAGCATACACACAGGCTGGGGAGTTCCCTTCTTGAAAGCACAGAGGCAGAAAGGGATCTCAGAGTCATTATTGACTCCAAGATGAACATGAGCCGCCAATGCCAGACCACACAAAAGGGGTGTGGCCAGCCTGGAGAGGGTTCAGAGGTGGGCCATCCGCTTGGTGAGAGGGCAGCAGGACAGGCTCTACAAGGAGAGACTGAGGAACCTGAACCTGTTCAGCCTCAGCAAAAGGAGGCTGAGGGGGGACCTGGTGGCTGTCTACAAACTCATCAGGGGAGATCAACAGCAAATAGGCAGAGAGCCCTTTTCTCCCTAGCACCATCTGGGATGACAAGAAACAATGGTAATAAGCTGATGGAGAATCGGTTTAGGTTAGAGATCAGAAGGCAATATTTTACAGTTAGGGTGGCCAAAATCTGGAACCAACTTCCCAGGGAAGTGGTCCTCGCCCCTACCTTGGGCAAATTCAAGAGGAGGTTGGATGATCTCCTGTCTGGGGTCTTGTGAACCCAGCATTCATTCCTGCCTGTGGCAGGGGGTCAGGCTAGGTGATCTGTTCAGGTCCCTCTGAACTAGCTAGCTACTATGAAACTTTTGTTTCAAATTACACATAATATTGCAGTTACTGTATTTAAACTTCCCTATTTATTTCACTCCTTTAGCTTTTTATTACATTTAATTGGAGCCTTCTTACAGTTGTTTTAAAAAAGAAAAATACAAAAGAAATTGTGAGATATATTTGGTCAAATTCTTTTAAATTTATTTTTATATTTTGAAAACATGTGCAGTGTGCAGTGTTTTGGTGCTAGGGAGAGGTGTGGGTACTAGGCATAGATATTTGCAAGAGACATAGGCAACGCGTAGCGGGGACGGGGGGGGCATGTGCCCCCCCTGAGATTGACTGCCGCCACCTTCTGCAGGTGGTCCCTGCTCACCCGTCCTCTCCCCCCCCCCAATCGCCAACACTGCCACTGCCGGCTGTGGGCGGTCCCCACTCGCCAACACTGGCGGCTGCAGGCAGTCCCCGCTCACTGCCATGGTGCCCCCCCCCAGTCTTGGTAGGCATCAGTCGTTCATGGCAAAAGAGATCCCTGACAGTTTGCTTTGGAGTTTTTCGGGTTGCAAAAAAAGGATGATCCCTTTCTGAATGATTGTTCATGTGCCCATTTTGACAGGGGTGCACATGTGCCTCAAGCATTTAATTATAGACTTTCTTGTCTTAATAGTATCTGTCAGGTACATCACAATTGGCATAAAGTATGTTTTTCTTGACGTAGAAGAGCATACTACAGCTTCGGACAGACATTACATTTGTAGTGGTACAAAAATGGCAGGTCTCAACAAAAATGTTCCTGAATGAAATAGGATTTCTCTATAGAATCGGAGCAGCGTGGTGCAGCAGAAGCAGCAGCCGCAGCTGGAGGCAAGGGGAGCATAACAGCTCTGCCAGCTCAGGCCCGGGCACCAGCCAGCGCATGCAGCTTCCAGTCAGCACCGTACCTAGACTCCTGGCGGCCCTTGGTGAACTTTTATTACTGGGTCCCTACACCAGAGATAATGAGAATAATAAAAAAATTACCATTCTCAGGCCCCATTTCTGTCCAGGCCCCAGGCAGCCGCCAAATTCACCCATGCCTGTGTCCAGCTCTGCTTCCAGTGGTGCTGTTCCCAGTGCAGCTGCAGCTAGCCGGGTGCTGCTGTGCTCTCCTCACCTCCCAGTGACAATGCAAGCCTGGCTGGCTGCAGCCACTCTGGGAACAACCCCACCAGAAGCTGCGTACTGGCCAGGGCTGAGGCTGGGGTCGGCAGGTGTGGGTGGGAGCATGGCCTGGGCTGCCCTGGGCAGGGTTTGGCCCCATGTGGAGTTCTGCGGGGGCAGCTGCTAACCAGGCGAGCTCTGCTGCATAGCTTTACCTGCTGACTCTCGCTCTACCTAGGCCAGACTTAAACAGCATAGATGCTCTTCTGAATCTCCTCAGTTGAGCAGTCCTATGGTTGTAATTTCTGCTGGGGGTTAATCTGTAGTCCTAGCTTCACGCAGGCAGGGTGCAAAAGCACTTCCCACAGAAGTATTTGGTCATTTGATCTCCTGTCATCACTTAGAAGTTCCCTTACAATTATTGTTTTAATTGTAGCATTTAAGGATAATTGTTTTAGTTATAATTTAATGTGAACATTAATCAGAAGAGCATCTGTATAAATAGTACTTTCTTACTCCTCAAACCTTGTTAATCCTGTTGTGTCTCTCCACCTATATATAGTGTACCCAGTAACAGTTTTGAATGTCACTGTTAGGACAAGACTGTTACCAGCCCAGAAAACCTCTCTAGAGGAGGAGCTGGTTGACAGTCTGTCATAGGATTGGAACCAGTCCCTTTCTGCTGTGTATTCATGGATCTGAATATTGATTCCCCTCCCCACCCATATAACTTTACTTCAGCCAACTTGGTTCAAAAAGAGACCTCAAGCTAAAGCTTTGTTTTAATGTGCATTGTTTGTGATTTCTGCAGTAGCCCTCAAAGAACAGAGTGTAAATCCTATATTCATGCGGTGAAAGTAACCTTCCTTCTCCTCATGTAGTGACCGAAACTCAGGGATTCTTTTTTTTTTTCTTTTTCATTGTTGATGAATGCTCCATTTGAGTGTGTTGGAGAGATTCCCCTAAAGCTTCTTTCTTTTAAAAAAACTTTGACTTGTGGGATGGGAAAGCTGGGGTCTCTGATCTCTGCTGCTACCCTTTTTCTCAGCATCTGGTGGTGTTTTACCTTGCCCAGACAAACACTGAGTAGTCTTTTATCTATATATACCAGGGGTGGGCAAAATACAGCCTGCAGGCTGGATTCGGCCTGCCAAGCACTTCCCTCTGGCCCGTGGAGCCCCTTCAAAACCCATGTAATGGTGGCTGCCTCCTCTCTAAAAGCCTCCAGCGGCACCGGCTGCAGCACCTCAGGCTGTTTCCTTGCATTCTGGTTGCGAGGCAACCAACCCTGACCTCAACCTGCCCCAGCTGGCCTCGCCCCACCCCTGGCTCAGGCCACGTTGGCAGCTTGAGAGGGGCGGGGGTGGGGCTGGGCCAGAACCTGTGGTGCCGGTGAGAGGAAACAGTGTTTGGGCTGGGTTCTGCTTTGCTGCACAGGACTAGAAAGGGCCCTGCCCTGCAGGTAAGCCCAGGAAAGTGGCTGCTGGGCAGGCTTTCCCTGTGCTGTGCTGCTCAGGCCATACAGGGTCAGGCTGGGCTGGCACTGGCGAGGGGAAGCAGCAGCTGGGCCATGGCTCTGGCCCAGTCAGCACCAGGGAGGAGAGGTGGCAGCAGAGCCATGTGCCGCTTGGGACAGGATGAGCCCAGCCGGAGCGGCAGGGCCTCAGCTGCGTTTTCCCCCTACCTGTGCCAGTCAGTCCTGAGTAGCGCGCAGCTCTGCCGCCGCTTCTGCTAGCTGGTGCAGACCCGGCTGGACTCGCCCCATCCCCAGCAGCATGTGGGAAGCTGGCTTCAGCTGCACGTTGCTCTGGATGGGATGGACCCAGCCAGATCTGCACTGGCCAGGAAAGGCGGCATGCAGCTTTAGTCGGCTCCTCGCGTGCTGCTGGGGATGGGAGGAGCCTGACCGGGTCAGCACCGGCCAGCAGAAGCAGCGACGGAGTTGGGGACTCACCTGTGCAGGCAGGAGAAAGTGCAGCTGAGCCCCTGCTACTCTGGCCGGGCTCATCCCATCCCCAGCGGCACGCAGCTCCGCTGCCGCTTCTGCTGCCTGGTGCAGACCCAGCCAGGCTTCTCCCATCCCCAGCAGCAAGTGAGGAGCCAACTTCAGCTGCATGCTGCTTTTCCTGGCCGGCGCAGACCTGGCTGGGTTTGTCCCATCCGGAGCATAATGCGGCTGAAGCCAGCTTCCCAGGTGTTGCTGGGGATGGGGCGAGCCCAACTGGGTCAGCACTGGCCAGCAGAAGCAGCGACGGAGCCTCCTCCTTTTGGGACCAGCTGGCACAGGTAGGGGGAAAGTTCTGGGGGACGTCTGATGCCCTGAAACCCCACTGCTGGGGCAGGATGTTAGAGGGGTCACAACCCCTTGCTACCTGGTAAGTTGTACAAGGGGAGGGACTTCTGGTGGCAAAGATCAGGGGGCGAGGCTTCCGGTGGCAAAAGTCAGGGGCTTCTAGTCCCAAGATGGCGACCAGGGGGTGGGGCAAATGAAGAGGCGGGGCTACCCATGTGGCCCTTGACAGCTCACCAAAACTCATCAAGCGACCCTCCGCCTGAAATAGTTGCACACCCCTGCTATGTACCAATTAGTTTTCTAACCCTAGTTTTCTGTTTCAAACCCTGTAACAAGGACAAGACAGTATCTTCATTGTCCCCTTGATAAAAGATTGTACCATGTCAGCTGAGGCCAAGTTATGGCCTAAAGGCTGTGATAACCTTTAAGTTACCACTTAGTCCTCCCTCGGACAGCTGTTCACCCAATTATCAGATGTGCTTGATCTCCAGTGGATTTTAAATTTGGAAGCATGTTTATCCAAAATCGATTTAAGGCTTCTATTTGAAAGGGTTTCTACTGCTTGCCACATTGCTAATAATTGATGTCATTGCCAGGCAGGAACACATAACACAGTAAATTAATTCAGCAGTAAGTTTATTTGATGGAGTCTTTTCTTCTATCATCCTCCATCGCCGCCTTTCTTCCTTTAGGCAGTGTTACTTGAAGGAAACCTTCCAGCCTCTCTAAGTTTACCATTTCCTGATCTTGATGTCCCTAAGAGAAGCTTAAATATTGTATTTATTGACCATGCCTCCTACTAGTAGATTAAAATAAACCAGTGAATGATCACTAGCAGAGTGAACAGTCACAGGGGTCTAAGATGGTTGTTCACCTTCAATAGAGTGGGGAATTAAACTTACTAGGAGAATTCTTGCTGCCCCTGCTACTAAAACCAGAATAAAAACACCTTGTCTTGTTTCCAAACTGGCAGTTAAGCAGGGGGAGAGGGTGGGTAGAAGGGAACTTCTTGTTTGTAGACAAGGAAGCATTGTGAAACCATTGAGAGGTGATAAATATAGAAGCATACACCATCATTTTTACACTTGCTTTTCTGACCACAACATTATTTGTTTTTCCATTCTAAGTACTGCTCATCTCGCAGTACTTGCTAATTTAACTCAACCATGAAATTGCTTATTAAACCATGAATATATAGAACAGGTAAAATTGTACTGGCCTGGAGATAAAATCCAGAGCTAGTTTTTTCTTCAGTGTTCATAATTGCTGATATTATCTTGTCAATTGCAGATGAGGAAGTAGTACTGGATTACAATTTCGACAATGATTTAAGAGACTACCACAAAATGTATTGGGAGACAGAGTTCAAACCTGTGGCAGAGAAACTACTCAGTAGACTTCAGAGACAACTCTCCTTCTTTCAGCCTATCACCGTGACTTCATTTTAATCCAGAAGTTAGAGGAGTTAGCAGTACAAACCCTAGAATACTTCAGTCATTTAAAATAGTAAGTAAATGCAAACAGTGATTGTTAGCAATATGTGAGAAACAACTCTAAATGCTGACTGGTTATTTTTTCATGTAGATTGTACAGTTAAATATTTCCAGTGCAACCTGTACATTAATAAGCATGTTGGATATTATGGAGAAAGATGAATAAAATTCATTTTAATCTGACATCTAGCCATCTGTTGAGAAACTTAAATGAAAATGTGGTCACCCTCACTCAAATAGATCCAGTCTTAGTCCATAAAAATAACGTGCAGGTGTTGATTTCAAGGATGTTTGTTTGTCATAAAGTGGTTTATACCAGCCACATAAGATGAGCTTTTAGATGGGCAGTTCCCAATAGAGGTTGGTAGATTTGGTTATTGATAATGCCAAGGATATTCACAGAATTCCTGGTAACTCAAGAGACTTCAAGTGCAAGTTTATCCATACTTGGATGACTGACACACATTGACAAACCTCACTTTACGCTTTCAGTTAGAGGCATAAAGATACCTCCCCAAGACAGAGCTGGCTTAACAAATTTTGATACAAGCATGTGAGGTTTAGTTAGACCAACAGTGGGATCTATTTGGATCACACAGTTGGATTTGGTACTGAGAGGGTACTTAATTATTTAACTGGCTAAAATAAAAAACTGTTGTGTCACTTTGAAGATGACTATGACCAGGAATTTTTCATGCGTCCTTAATGCACTGCACTGGTGTATAGCTTGACAGTAGGTGTATGTTTGTGTAAGTGAAAAGTTAAAGTAGAACAACAAAATATGGTCACTAGCAGACATTACATTTATCCTGCACTTAACATGTTATTCTCATGATAAATGATAATATGCAACATCAGACCAATTCACTGGACAATAAAAATGGAAAAATCAGCTATGTTGAATGTGGAAAATCTTTGTGGCTGATTGGCATCATAGTTTAAATATGAACACATCTTGTAGTGCCCCCTCATCCCCAGCTGTCTGCACCTGGCATGTGTTTAGTCAGCTATGGGAAGGCCCAAGCAACTAGTTGCAGGTGTGCCATTAAGGCCACAGTATGGACAGCTGAGGATCAGGAAGTTCCTTGGTCCCCAGCAACCTGGGTCCAGGCACGCACATACAGCCAGCTGCATACTGCAGCAGACATGCAATGTGATCTGAGGAATTTTATCCCAGATCCCAACAATAAAACTTCCTGCCATGCCAGATCTTGAACATCTGTGATTGTTTCTTGAACACTGCTACTAAAGCCCAGTTTAATGAAGTATTGAGCTGTAACAATTAATCCTTAACAAGCAGTAATAAATGATGCAGACTGCTTAACATAAATAGGAGAACAGGCATGCACGTGGTACTTCTATAGTAGTAAAAGAAAAGAAACTGCACCCAGCTATTGACAGTTGTACAACAACTGTATGCAGCTTTAGTATATAGAGCTTGAGGTCTGCAGTACCATGTGGGAAGGGCTTCATGGGATTCAACGCACTTTTCTTTTTGAAGGCTCTTGCCTCGTCTGCAACATAACTCTGTTTCTGAAGATCAATCAGTCATCCTCCATTCCTGTAGGCCCACATTTTCCTACTGTCAACAAGAACCAAGTTGAGCCCATTTTTAAATTCCATCTTCGCTATTGAATTGCTCTATGGCCTTAGGTAGTCAGTCACTCTTCTCTTGCACAAGGATCAGAAGTAATTATCCCTTCACTCATTATGTTGATAGCATTTTAAAAAACTGTATGTGTATCAAGTACATGTATAATGAATTGCAAGAACATGTTCAAAGAGCCAATTTGTCTCTCTTTTGAGCAAGTTTTTGCAACAGTTAATCCAATTAATGAAGTGGCTTTTAAAACAAAAAAGACTATGCAAAATGAAAGAACAAGAAAAGTTGTTACCCTTTATTTAAAAAAATACCAGTAATACTGACAGGATTTTCAAAAGCAGTTGACACTTATACAAAAGTATTCATGTGTTCTCCAAAACCAAATATAATGTTAAACATGAGCATTTTATGCATGTTTTCCTCCTAAACCAGATGTTTTTCAGCCTAATTACTTAAGCAGCTCCAAAATCAATAAGACCAGCAATAAGTGTGACCCACAGGCTTCTTTGCAGCCTAGAGTAACATTCCCACACCTTGCCCTGTAGTTGTGTGTCTAGGGGCCAGATAACAAATAAAGGGGCATCAGTGACAGGTGTTCATCCTTGAAAAGCAGGTTAAGGAGCTGTTCAGCATTTCACATTGTTATATAACATGTCTCCAAATAGCCCAGGGACTAAATTTCCCTCATAGGAAGACCACCGTGCTTTGGCTTTTCACCAAACAATGCTGTACAAATTGTCCTACAGCATTTTTAAGGCTAATCTACGTTTAAGAAAACTGTTACCTTCAAAAACTGTCAGTGTGGACAAAAGAGGTTTAATTCTGATTTTTTTTAAGTTGCTAAATATCAAGGCTTCTTTAAAAACCACGCAAAATGTAGGCTCAGACAGTAGCAGTGCTCATGTTCACTTTTAGCTTAACTCAAACAACCTCTGTCTGTTCATTACACCAGCACAAATAGCAGCATCAAGATTTCAGAAAATCGTTCTTGTATCAAAAGCAAATGTCCCACTTTGCTGCAAATTTTCTTCATGTTCCAGCTCCTGCTGCATTTGCCTTAATACAAGATTTATATATCTATCATTTGCTAGATTGCCACAAGTCATAGGGTTTCCTGTGTTGTCTAAAGCCAAATGCTGTGATCAGGCAGCACAACCCTATCTTCTGAACTGCCAAGCATTCACTACTCAATGAGAGCAGTGATATTTCAAACAAGGAAATAGCTGAAACTAAAGGAGTTATGGCACAATGGGCATCTCAGTTTTTAGCTACCATTGGCCTCCAGGCTTAGTAGCTTTGCTCTAGACTGCTGAACGTTCCATCGTCATTAGCCTGCCAGGGATATCAGGTCATATAGCGAGTAATAGCTCTCAGAGCATAAAGTAGTTCAGCTTGCATGCGAGCTTCTATCAGAAGCAAATTAACATGAACCTTAAAAAAGAAACAAACAAACAAGAGGTTAAGTTTGGAAACATTTCTGCAGTGCTCAAAAAACACCTCAATAAAAGAACTATGTGAAAAAATGCACAGACACTTCTGTGGTAGCTATCAAGACTAACAGCTGCATACGTAAATTAGCATTCTCTACCAAAAAGCTCTTGGATGGGGAAAGATTTCCAGCAAATGCTGTGGAGGAGGGAGTGGTTAGGTGTATGGTAGCTTTCAAACAGTTTTAAAAGGACCTTGGCTGCTCACAAAAGGCACAGGCGCTCAAGACCTGCTCTGGCCTGGGAATTACACATCAGCAGAACACCAGTTTTTATTAGAAGAAAGCTTCTTGACTATTTTTATGAACAAAAGTGCAAAGCCATGAACAAAGTATAATGGATACCCATCTAGCCTGTAGACAGCAGGAAATAATACTCAGGTGTAAACACCATATTTTATCAGTGCATTGTTAACTGCAAGAGCCACTGCTTTTGAAAGACACAGTAAATTCATTATTGCAATATACGGTACCAATAACACCCAAGTAATTTCAGTTGAAGCACAGCGGCCATCTAATAACAGTAGCTACAATGTACTTCAGATTTACTAAGCCCCACAGAACACAGGCAGACCGTACCTTCTCAGACTGCTTGAACTGCCTCCAGAAGCTATCATACATTCTTTTTGTGGTCTTTTCAGGAGTGCAAACCACAGTTTTGATATAAACTTTAAAGCTGCGGTCCAACAACTGATTAATCTCACCATAGTCATAATCATCATATCTGTTCAGAAGTGAAGAAAGATGCTTTTATTTTCTCATTTCACAGGTTTAATGTTTCATTGAACTTACTGTAAAGTGCTCAAAAAGTGACTATCAAGACAGACTTTACTTTCTAATATGCACTACTCATTAAAGCAGAGTATGGCAGGAGCCAGATTGCAGGGGCAGTGTAATTTAAAAGGATTAGCAAAGTAACCTGCTTTGCTTCCACAGGAGGTGGGGGAAAAGAAAAGAAAAAAAGCCCAGCAGACACTGGCAAATCCAGGAAAGTGATAGGCCTAACCTTATTCCAAACATACAGTGGATGTAGTTCCAGATTGCACGTCTAAGCGTGGAAGTATCCACATCTTTGTGCATAGCCATTGTGTGGTAAGTCAGGTTGTATGCAATATGAAACTTCTCGTCAAGTAGCTGCCCCACATCTGGATAAAGACGATTAACCAAGGAATAGCCATGGTCCTCCCAGGAATAATCCTCGAAACAAAGAAAGCACAAGTCAGTGCATAAAGAAGAAACACACAAAGGTTAAGCAATTCTGTTTACTTTGTCTCAGAATAAATAAGATTCAGTGGCTGCCTGCTTAACTTTAAGGGAAAGAAACAAAAAAAGTCTAGCCTGTTCACCACAAAACGGTCACTAGTTCTCAGGACTTGGTCTGACTTTCACCAATTATACAGGGCATTTCCTGAGGCTTGTTACCAACGACCTGCCTGTTACCTGAACACGGAAGGTAGGCACGTGCATTCCATGTCTGGAGAAGTCTTTATAACCATAGCTTGTATCTTCAAAGTGGCGAGAGACATCTCTAGTTGGTGCCAATTCTTCCTCCTCTGTTAAAATCACATACAGAGTGGACTTCACAAATTAGTTTAGATGCATTTCAAAAACAAAACAAAATGGAAGTATATTTATGGAGTTATTAAGGATACTTTCTCTTTCAACAGTACTTGCTCTCCAGTCCACCCATCAAAAAAAGGTGTTAAATATCTCGATTTCTCCAAATCAGTTAGGTAAGGCATGATGAGCACACACATCCACTATATATTTTTACCTGAAAAATACACAAACATACTCTCCCTCTTCTCTCTCTCAAAACGTGTGGCCATCTCTTCTTGGCTGGCTTCCTCTTCATCCCTGCACTCCTGTAACTGCTTCATTTTCTCCATGAGCACTTCAACTTCACAGAGAGACTCTGCAGTCTTAAGAAAACCCACATCCATTTTAGGGCTCTGTATACAGATTGTCAAATCTCAAAATTTAAATTCCTTAATCTGTCCTTCATTTGCATAATTCCAATTACTGGGTTTTTTCCCCCCTTTTCCCTAAAAAGAGCAGAATAAATCTTAATTTAAGGTGCATTAGCACCTCAGCAGCTCTGGGCTGATTTTCTTTTCTCACTTACAATTGGAGGTTATTTTAAAACGTATATTTTTCAGTATCAGCAACTGAAAACACAAAGAACTATAGTAGAAATTTCGAGGGACAAAGTCACCATAATTTATTACTACTTTTTCTCCCTCTTTCCCCAACTATGGCTACTTGAAATACTGAAGAAATCTATCCAAGGGAAAAAAAGGGAAAGTGCGAATGTAGATTTTATAAGGCCTAAGAAGACATAATAAGCGCAAGTGCGACAAACTTTGAGAAATAAAAGTAATCAATATAGTCTTTTAACGGGGAAGTATTAAAATCATAAATGTGTACTTTTCTAGTATGAAAGAACTACAAAGCAAAAATCACCCAGCCCAAAGTAAAATTCCCATCCACCTTTGTCCACTTCCCCTCTGTATTGCAGTCTGCCTATTCCTTCAGACAGCACCTCAGTAAAAAGATGTGCCAAACCCAGAATCTGTTAAGATAAAATGAGAGCAAGACCCAGAGTTGGGTCAAACTCAAACCTCTTTTGTTTCTACTGGGGCCATGGTCTGAAGCCTGAATTGTACAAGTTAGAAACCAATGCAATCCACAGAGCAAAAATGCCATGGGCAAGAAATGCCAGAGCACTCAGGCATTCAAAAGTGTCTGGATAGTCTAAGCATAAGTAAGCTAGCAGCAAGACTGCTATCTCAAGGTGACAAAAATGAGCACCACCTTCAGAGGAAGAGGTTTCTATATTTCAGCCAAACAGATGTAAACATTTCTTTTGGCTACTACTGCTACCTATACATGCAGAAGCAGTCAGGGGGCCAAGAAGACTCCCAGTCTGTCCTCCCTGAGACACATGGAGGGTAAACAACTGAAGGACAGGCACAGCCTGTCACTTCTGGCTGATTCCCCTTCTCTACCAGCACCATTTCAGCTTCACTTAAAATTTTATCTTAACCCAGCTGTCTTGTCCAAACTCAGTCAGACTCCAGGTAAAATCACTCTGTTTTGCCACTAATGCGAGACAAAATGAAGACAAAGACCTGGGTGTCATCCCCATGTTAAATTAATGGGGAACTAGCAGTTTGAGACTGCTAACACTGAAATCCATTAGTATTTATGCAAACTGATACTTACTGAGATGCTTCCAGTGGGGCTAATTTGCATCTCATCAGTCCCATGGTTACCATTTGCAATATCGCAGATACAATAGTTACTGACTGAAGGGGGCCGGAAGGTGTGGCCCCCATCGCAATGAATTTCCGGACTGATTCCACAGCCAAACGTGAAAGAAGCAAGTGAATGGTAGTGTGTGAGGAGAACTACAGCGTGGATGAGCTCTGCCAGGGACCAGCTATGCTCTTCCGTCTTCAAAAGTTGCTTTAAAAGAAATGCAAAACAAGACTTATTTTAAAAACCCAGTGGTGGTTCAAATGCTTCATTAGACTAATGAGCCTAATCCCACAACAGTTCGTTCTCTAGAAAGCCGTTCTTCTAGAATTCACAGCCTCTTTAGAGACCTCAGTGAGCCAAAAGCTATGTAGACAAAAGCAGTGTTTACCCTTTACAACAGTTAGACAGAGAGTGGGTGAAGTAAAGGGTAAAGTGTACAAGTTTGAAAGTTACATTTGCTATTCCCTAATTAAAAAAGAAATATCCTCATAAATTAAAAAGAAATATACTGACCCTGCCCCCAGTATCTAGACCAAAGTCTCTCCTGGGATCATTTTATTCTAGATTCTCAACTGGCATTTTACCGGGGGGGGTGGGAGTGGGGGGTGGAACGGACACAGGAATGGATGGGATTCACATGGGTAAATCAAAGAGCAGATAACTTTTTATTTTTTTGGTTTCAGAAGCAATTGGATCAGTCTGAGGGTCTTTATTTTGCTTACAAATTTCTACTAAAAGCATGTAGGGTTTTGGAATCACACCATTAGTAAAACATAATGCTGCTACTCAGGGTTTTAAAATCCAGCATGCAAGTGCAGGGGTTGCATATTTTTACTCTGTTCTTGTCTCAGAAAGCCCTAGGCAACTCCTGGCAAATTAGCTACCTAAAGAAGGTCGGGGGGGTGGCTGAGGTCCTCGTCTTCCCCACGTGGGTGGAACGCTCTAGCTGACAGGATTCTTCAAGCCTCAGCTTCCCCTTCAACCAGGAAGGAGTAGGAGGTTCTTGGCCTTTTTTGCAGACAGTAATGCTCCCCCTCCTCCCCACAAAACCAGCCTCCGTCTCCCCACCTGGCAGATGTTACAGAGCAAGTAGCAGCAGACTCCTTCCTCATTGCTAAGATTAGAGAAAAGCTTAAAAAGAGTTGCTCTGAACAGCAGCTGCCAAGCATGAGGTACTTCTAACTAGGGTTAGGTATATGACCAGTCAAATATCAGTAAAAAAATAGTTAAAAATTGTAAAAAGTTGCCAATATGCCAACTGATCCAAATAATACATAGAAGCAGCACACATTTTCCATTCAGAAGCGTCAAAAAAAATACCAAAAAAAACATATTTCTGTCAAGAAAACTGCAAAAAAGATTAAAAAGGGGTTTTTTTGTAAACCCGCTATAATTTCTGACAAGTCAAAAAAATGCAGCCAGTTGACCAGCTTGCCAACCCTATTTCTAACCCCATAGCCAGGGGTGTGATCACAGCAGGTGTAAGTATGTTCAAACTACCTGTAAACCAGTTTGTCTCGGAAACAATCACAGTAAAGAGCCAGCACAGGCTTCATTGTGGAACACCCATCTGACTAAGCATGAAGGGCTCCTGGTGAGTGCAGACAGCATGCACCATTATATCTTCACCCTGACTGCTACTTCGGTTCTCAGGATGAAAGCTTGCTTGGGTATGTCTGCATATGCTACAAGCATGCTTCCCAGTGACAAAGGCTAAGTGCAGACAGTCAAAAACCCCAAGGCTGAATCGATTCAATCTTCGCAGGTTAGTCTAAGCTGCATAAATTGAACCAATAAGCAAGTGAACAGAAATTCACTTTCAAGTCCAGAAATGCAGCCACATACCTGCAGTGGCCTAGGCCAGAAGCTGGGGGGCACTAGAGCATACCTCCCTGCTTGGCTGGAGCAGACAGCTTGGGCCAAGGCTAGCCCACCCACCCTATGAGGGGGAGTTTGTCAGGGAAGTGCAAAGCATCCTGGGATGCTAGAGGATTGAGTTACCTTGAATCTGGAGAGGATCTGAGACAGAAGTTCAATAAACCAATTTAACCTAAATCAGTTAAAAGTCTGATACCACATCTATCCAAGTTTGTCTTAAACTGGTTTATGTGCACTGAACTTCTGTTGTGTTACAGATTTGAACCACCTTCTGATCACTTACACCAGTTTGTGTCATTTCTGTCCCTAGCCAAAGATGATACTAGCAGGGAAGCAGTTTGTGACCTCAGAGGTGAGAGTAGGGAAGCTTCACTTCAGATTTGCTTAATTTATTATAAACAAAATCTGCTTGTAAAAAATTTCCGAATAGAAACCTCATGAAGTCAGTAAAAGAAACAACACAGTAGGCTAAATACTTTATGTTAACAGTAGTTTTCAATGATTCAGATAAAAATATGTTGATCCACTCTTGTTCTTGTCCACTGATATCTCAAAAATACTCAAGTCACACTTGCTTTTGCTTTAGTACACATCTGAGCACATACATACACAATTTTTAAAGCCTCAAGTGGGATTGTATAGAGCCACAGGCATTTTGTAATTTGGTTCCAAGCAGGCCTTAATTAGAGCTGCAAAATCGGGTGCTACATGTCAATGCCATATTTCATATCGATTGGCAGTGCTCATCCTAGTAGGGTTAAATCTGAAGTACCAGCATTTTACATAAAAAGCGGATTGCTTTAACATAAATTCTTATAATCTCCCAGGGGATTCCCAAATAAGAGCTCCACTGAACGCACTGGAACCAGTAATTATCAAACCAATTCCAGGATGCATCATGCAATATCACAACTGTAAATAAATATCAAAGTGCTTCCTCCCTGGGCCCAGGATACGTAGATTGTGTTTCATGTAATAAAGATTTGCTGCATACTGCGCAAAAGAAGAGCTACCTCAATATGTTCTTTGGTGAGAAGCCAGGGCCGATGAGCCAGTATTTTGTTCAATTCTCCTAAATTCTGCAGTTTTTGAGGTGCATTTTCTAGGCCATTCAGCCATTTGGGATCTCCTCCAACATGAAGGAAATCATTAACATGGAGGTTAACAAGATAAGAGCACTGATGCCTTGCTGCAGCCTAGGAGGAAAACAAACAGTTTTAATCCAAAAAAACATCCCTACGAGTTAGTGCTTTACAATGACATTGTCTTTTCACAGTAGTCAACATAAGAATCTGCAGTGGTCAACATCTGAACTTAAAGCACTAACTTCTAATTAACAAGGTAGCTTGTTTAATTATTCTTGAAAATATACAACTGAGCCTTTTTTATTCCAACATACTGTAATGTCTTGGTTTTGCATCTTTAAAATCCAGTCAATTACAAGAGACTTGCTGAAAGCCAATTCTCAGACACCAAGAGAAACAGAGAACATGATAAAGCACTGTTTACTTAAGGCAGGGATCCAGCTCAGATCTGGGTTGTGGGGACTCCTCTCGGGCCAGATCCTTGGGGCCAGCAGCACCAGTGCAGGTCTGTGAGCTTCCCTGATGGTCATGTCCATTGGTCCAGGGACCCAAAACTACAGCAGGCCATGATCCCAACTTCATAGATTCATAGATGTTAGGGCCGGAAGGGACCTCAGTAGATCATCGAGTCCAACCCCCTGCATAGGCAGGAAAGAGTACTGGGACTAGATGACCCCAGCTAGATACTCATCTAACCTCCTCTTGAAGACCCCCAGGGTAGGGGAGAGC